AATCCCATCCCAACGGGAAAAATCTGTTGGGATCATGGTGGGATTCCCCAATCCCAATGGGAAAATTCCATCCCAATCCCATCCCAATGGGAAAAATCTGTTGGGATCATGGTGGGATTCCCCAATCCCAACGGGAAAACTCCATCCCAATCCCATCCCAACGGGAAAACTCCATCCCAATCCCATCCCAACGGGAAAACTCCATCCCAATCCCACTGCAACGGGAAAACTCCATCCCAATCCCATCCCAATCCCATCCCAATCCCATCCCAATGGGAAAAATCTGTTAGGATCATGGTGGGATTCCCCAATCCCAATGGGAAAACTCCATCCCAATCCCATCCCAACGGGAAAACTCCATCCCAATCCCACTGCAATGGGAAAACTCCATCCCAATCCCACTGCAATGGGAAAACTCCATCCCAATCCCATCCCAACGGGAAAATTCCATCCCAATCCCATCCCAATGGGAAAAACCCATCAGGAACAAGGTGTGAAGTCTGAAAGTTTTCTGGATCCCCAATTCCAGCAGGAAATCTCCACCCAAATCCCATTTCAATGGGAAAAACCCATCAGGAACACGCTGTGAAGGTTGTGGGGACCCCAATCCCAGCAGGAAATTCCCTCCAAATTCCACTTCAGTGGGAAAAACATCCGGAAAAAATGGGAAGAAGGTGTGATGTCCAAAAAGCCATTGGGAACATGATGTGAAGGTTGTGGGACCCAATCCCAGCAGGAAATTCCCTCCAAATCCCATTTCAATGGGAAAAACATGGGAACAAGGAGTGAAAACCCATCAGGAACACGGTGTGAAAGTTCTGGGAACCCAAATCCCAGCAGGAAATTCCCTCCAAATCCCATTTCAATGGGAAGAACCCATCAGGAACACGGTGTGAAGGTTGTGGGAACCCCAATCCCAGCAGGAAATTCCCTCCAAATCCCATTTCAATGGGAAAAACATGGGGAAAAAATGGGAAGAAGGTGTGATGTCCAAAAAGCCATTGGGAACACGCTGTGAAAGTTCTGGGAACCCAAATCCCAGCAGGAAATTCCCTCCAAATCCCATTTCAATGGGAAAAACATGGGAACAAGGAGTGAGAACCCATCAGGAACACGGTGTGAAAGTTCTGGGGACTCAATCCCAGCAGGAAATTCCCTCCAAATCCCATTTCAGTGGGAAGAACCCATCAGGAACACGCTGTGAAGGTTGTGGGAACCCAAATCCCAGCAGGAAATTCCCTCCAAATCCCATTTCAGTGGGAAGAACCCATCGGGAACACGCTGTGAAGGTGTGGGAACCCCAATCCCAGCAGCAAATCCCGAGCCCCGCGTGCACCCGGGCTGATCCCGCCCCGAGCCCGGAACCCCTCGAGGATTTTGGGGGATTTGGGGGATTTGGGGGGATTTTGGTGTATTTTGGGTATTTTGGGGTATTTTGGTGTATTTTGGGGGTATTTTGGGG